AGGAATCATGATTAATCTCTTTAGAGACTTCGCTATGAAATCATTGTCCGTAACATACCATTAGTCCGAAGTGTGAAAATGGAGAAGAGCAAATTTTGTTTGGGATAAAAATAACTTACTTGGGACATTGCACAATCATTGTTACTTGACCTTCTTTTAAGTCAGCAATAGCCGGAGTGTTAAAATTTTTCGTGCTACAACCGTGAAATCCAAAAGGAATACCTTGATTATTACATAAACAAGACAGATAACCATACTTGCAAGTTTCAGTGGATAGTTTTTCAGATAAACAAAACTTTCAACTACAGCCGTTAAGCTCGTTTTCAGCTTCTCGTGTGCAAGGTCAGCGGGAACCAGCACACCTATAAGACAGCTAGACTGAGTGAGTCGATATTATCTGACTTCAACGATGAAGGGCTGCTTTAATGGATGTGTCCGCAATATCCATTTATTCCATTTGGAAAAATGCAAAACCATTTAAAGAAATGTGACGATTGGCAATCATCCTAATTTGTAAGAAGGAAGATATGCTGAGGTGTAAAGCACACTACTTTCCAACAGCTCACGTACGCAATTTGCCAAAAGACACCTATATTCCTCTATTCTGAAACCTTACATCGTCAGTTGGGAACGTGCTAACATGGCCCAGCCCGTTTGTACCGTAACGGGTTGCAGTCTACGGTTGCATAAACGGAACCATAAGATTTGGTATACAGGCTAGACCGATGCGTACTCGGTAGTTCGATAGCTCCCTCACCTATCTGTTTTTTTTTTAGTTTGTATACGTGAACGTTGGGTCGGGTACAATGAGTATGTGGCAATCAGGAAAGTTACTCCACGAGAATACCAAGTGCTATGGTCTTTCACGATGGACAGCGAATAAACGGATTGATCTATTTAAAATTGTGGGTGATTATCAACCATGCACATGGTGCGAGAAACCGCGCAGCGTTGACATTAGACCTCTCAGACGCTAATTTACAGTTTGTTCTCAGATTGGATTAGTTCTGTTCGGCAAATGTGATCCGTAACATATAACACTGATTTAAGGAAAATGGATTTCGACCAAACAGGCACAATCCTGTTTCCTTATGGGCTGAACGCCACTGAAAGTTGCGGTTAGATTAGTCGAACATAGGGGAAGAACAAAAGAAATCAGTTACTTGGACCCATGAGTCTACATCCTCATCCTTCAAGCATAATCGTCGAAAGAGGGCTCAGAAATACGTTTTTGAAACTAATAAAGTAAGACGGTGGCAGCAAAAATGCAGCACGGTGGTGCTAAGCTGCTCGTCTATTGGAAAGGTCTAAGTGAGTCGGTATTCAAATCTCTGGAGGAATTGATTATTATCATAAAGGAAGGTAGAAAGCGTATGTAACCAAGACCCATCGGATGGTTGGTGGTGATCAGGACTCGACAGGTGAATGCCGATAGATCAGTAAAATTCGGAGGGGTGAATAGCGTGTATCCTTCACCGACGGCTATCCACCGAATCAGCAAAATTGGACTGTCTTCTTGCTTGGCCTGTTGTATCAACTAGATCTCTACTGTTTGACCAATCTTCGTTGACTTTGCTGATTGGTGGACGTAACAGATAAGTATGTGTGATTTATTATCTCTAAATGCGCGCATTCCCAAAACCGTCGAAGGGCATGAAGTCATAATTAACCCTTATTTATCAATTTGAACAAGTATCCTTTGAAGATTTCCCACTTCTGTAATTCGCACATTTGTACTGGGATACGACTACCTAAAGCTCAGCGCCTAAATTGATTTGATAGCGATACATTTTAAACGTAGCTACACTTGTATGCGATGATAAAAGAATTGAAAAGTTTCCTCTCAGAAATGCACGTGCTCTCAGTGTATGCTGACTAATTTCACCATGAATTACAACTCCTGAGGAAGTATAGTACTCATTCCGGCCAAAGTTTCGAGCCTTAAAAAATAGGTTCAGCGAATTCCATCACATTTTTTGTGTTTTTTGATAGATGAACGAAGAACATGTTTTTTTACTTACTCAGCTATCTGATAAATGAACACAGGAATATTCGTTGTCTTGTCTACCAGAATCCCTGTCTGTTTATGCCAAGCCTGGGTTTCTGTGGTTTTGAATGAAGAGCAGTTTAATCGCTAAAGGTGAAGTGTGCTCCATAGCCGCTTGAAGTCTTTTCTTACTTCTGAGAAGATTCGAATCGGAAGGTATAACGTGCTACTAAGTCAATGTCTGAAAATGAGACAGATGTTTATCGTTCACCGATGATTTGAGTATGTGTGGCACACACTTCCAGACTGACTTTCTCTTCAATGTTTTATTGCCTAAGTAGGGAATGGAGGCATCAGTTCACGCATAGGGTTACCTGACGTGTTCAGCCTAGGCTTGGAGGCAATAAGAGAAACTACAACGGGGTCAATGCCGTTAACGGAGTTATTCAGTTGTTGCATACACTTTCCTACATATGTATTTCTCTTTCCTGTTTTATTTTTATTTTTCAATAAAAACAAATAACATCTAAACCCGATCAGTGTGTTACCAGTTGAACGATTATTGACCCTAAATAACCTCAATTTATTATAAAACTAGAAAAATTTATTTAAGTAGAATAAAACTTTGATTAACAGCAACTTTATACATACACACAATGATTCCGCCCCATTAGCAGTAAATGTGCTAGATTTTGGTAATAAAAAACAAACATCGCTACATGTTTAGTTAGTATTAACAAATCAATCTAATCTCACCTGTACACACAGCACTGTGTTGTCGTAGCTACCACCAAATAGTTGAACCCGAGGGACGCTTTTGGTATGCGATCACGAAATTCGAGTTTTTCTTTCGCGCCATTTCTCATATTGTACACCTCCACGGTATGTGAGTCTGTAATAGCAGCTTCGAAGCCGTTCCATTCCATCCATCTGTCAGTGATTTGACCAATAATAATCTGACCGTTCCCACCGGCTCCTGCAATCTGAGTCCCATCTCCGGACCACCGAAGATTGTAAATACTGCCTGTTTGGGTTTTCTCAACTGCGAAAGACCACTTGATGAGAGAGGAACCGATGAAACATAATCGGGCTCAAAAGTATACATGCATCAACTCAAAAACAGTAAGTATGTGTGCGTTTAGAAGTGATTCCCGTGGAGGACTAAAAGAGAAACAAAATCACCTACCCCTCGTTTGTCACATAAGTACAACGTGTCATAGCTGCCCACGACGAACAATTGTCCGTCAGGAGACCAAGCCAACGATGTCACAGGATTCATAAATGGTATACTGGTGTACAACAGTCTACCAAATGAATCCCATACCTGAAATAGCGGTTTGTTGAGGTATCATTGCATTCTACCTTATATCTGCAATCTTCACCTCCGGAAATGATCTGATCAGTCACGGAACTCCAATCTACCTTCAAGATGATTCCATCATGAGCTTTCCACTAAAGATAAAGATGATTATTTGGATGAAAGAGAAAGATCTTACAGCAACCGGTTTGACGTTTGCTTGCAGTGGTTGTAAAATTAGTTGTTTTTCTGATGTATACAAGATGTGCGTGGAGTTCGGACCCCATGTGAGGGAATAAATGGGTTGTGCTGAAAAGAACTGAATGAATTCAACAGCGTGGCCTACATTGCTGAACCAAAGTAGATCTCAGCATTCCACTTTGGGACCATATTTTAATTTGTCCATCTTCACCACCTTCGTTTGCCGTATATTAGGGAAAATAATAAAACATTACTCGTAGCAAATGCTGTACCATCATGATTCCAGCGGATGGCTGTCACAGCTCCTTGATGAGCCTCAACATCTTTTTCGGCTTTCCCCGTCTTGGAAAGTAAATAGAAATGACCTTAAAAAGTGCATAATGCCAGGTGATATACTTACCATCAGTGGCTGCTAGAATAAAGACATCATTTCCCGGAACGGTTTTGCTGGTTGTTTTAAAGCGCTGTCTTGGTGCCCAATCCATGTCGGTTGGGAAGACAAAGTTTGGAAGATCAACAATTTTGTTTGTTTGCATCGAGCCCAGACACCAGCAGCTGACTATGTGATCATCTCCGGCGGAACAAACTTCGTCACCAGAAGCCCAAGATATGGAACTAGCAAGATCATCATGTGTGTAACTAGTCAAGGATACCAGCAAGTTTGACGGATTGACTCGATAGTTCAGGTGTGGCGAGCATTAATTAAGACGAAGTACTGGTAGAAAAGGGGATAATGTCTAAAAAATAATGTGCATCTCAACTGCGTCTTCCCTAGTTGCTGTCGGGCCAGAACTGAACTGACTCACTGATTAGGCACCTGAACTAAAATAAATTGGCAATTCGGTTCAGCTCCGGTGTAAAGTGGTTGGGTTAAGTGTAATTCGCCTTCCACACGATGGATCCTGAGTTTAAAGCCACAACGGAACGGTGGATATGCATCACTGATGAACCCTTATACGAGCGAAATTCGAGTCTAGTGCTTACGAGTGTATAATTGACTGGATGAAGTGAGGGCTATGCGTGAAGATGAATTCTAAAAGATGGCCGGTCCAAATGAATAATGAGGATCTCTCAAGTATTATTATATCGAGGTTTTCCGGTAGCCATTCAAAGTTGTAAACAAATCTTGTTATCTATTCCCATGAGGTAATATAAACCAGATAAGTGACGCTATATTATAAAGAATTATCATATAATCAGGCCCCTAATAATCAATCCTATTCAAAGTTCACCGGCATTCACCGCCTGATTCAATCAGTTAAAGTAATATTATTGGAAACCTTTTGTTTGAAATTCGGAATTATGGTTTCGGCTAGCTTCTTCCAGACAATTTAATGAGTTGACTGAAAATATCAGAACAATGATGCTCAACTGATTGTGAGTTACTCGGTAGCTTGTCTTTTGTCCCAATAAAAAGTAAAAGGCTTTACCAAAACTGCTTTAAATCGTTATGTAAATATACTTGGCACAAACCTTATACAGTTGCAATAACATGTCAAAGCTATAATGCTAGAATTCACTTCATAGGTTACAATTAAGGTGTAGTTGCATCAATATAGTAGGAAAATTGTTTGCAATTTAAAAAAAACATAAGAAATTCAAAATCGTGGTATAAATTGTTTGCTAAGGTTAACTGAAGAATTTCAGGATCAGTAAGGTAAGCCTACTAGTGACAAGATCAGTAACAGTAAACATGTGTTTTAGGCTTCAGCGAAGTGCAACAGTTTTTTCCCCTTTGAAACTTGCCTTAAAATTCCAAAACTTTAATATTTTTTATTTCTAATTTGCTTTTCTATTTCAAAACATAATTTCATCCATTGAATGATGATGGGACGGTGATAATAAGTCATGTTTTATTGCAGTGTCCGCCCGATCTGAAAGCGCAGTTGAAACGGCTTTATTGAGCTAATGCAGAAAATCTAATGGAAAAATGCGCAAAAGAAACTTTGAAGTTGTAAGACTGAGATGAAAACCGACTCCGGTGTAGAGTAACTGAAACACAAACTGACACGAAGATACTAATGTGTCACCTCAGGCTTGCGATTTGTTCTGTTTTACCCATGTAGATGCCACCGCGTTATACAAATAATAACCTATAGTGTTTATTATGACATGAGAACACACCTTGGGACGAGAACAATTGTTTTCATTTATTCATCTTTTGGCCTTTAAAGTTCATGTAATAAAACGGCATGTTGAACGAGGATAGACATTCTGTCATTCAAAAGTCACAGTGATTGGTTGAAAGGGAGAGGGATATCGGGTAAGTGGTGCAACGCGCTTCACACCACCAGGTCACCATAACATTGCAGTCAGGTTGCGATGCGTCATCCGTACGATCGACCTTCGGCCACGCCAGCGGAATGGCATGGGCCAATCTCTTTTGTACACATAGATCAGGTGTGAACAAACGCATACCGATTGCTTTCGCAGTTACTAGGGTATGGAGACGCAGCTACTTGGATTGGTGAGGTGGTTCTCGATAGAAAACTTTAAAGGCTGGTTCAGGCTTCACTTAGTGACCTGAGTCTGCTAGGTTATCAAGAATAGCGCTTCCTTTAACACCTTTGACACCATATTTAAGCCAGCTTGGACAGTGCTCTTTAATCCGCTGGGACAGTTGTATCGCCGTTCGGCCAATGTATGTTGTGTTACAAACTCAGCTGAATAAATAGATAACGATAGATGAGACCAGCCTAAGTAACCTGTCTTTATTATATGTTCTCGTTAATGGTGAGCCCGTTGATACGCATGACAAACTGGCTGCATTAAGGCTTCTTCTTACAGCACGCGCCAAACGTCTGCTAATCATGTGAGATAGGTCATCTCCTCTGAATGGCAGTTTGATAAGCAGCTTCTTCGTTGGAGCTTCCTGAACGAGCTCGTATTCCGGTGTTTCTTCAAGGTTTATTTCAATGAACCTTTCAGAGTTTCCATCTCCCCTTAGGATTGTTTTGATGTGATTAAGTTCATCTGCGAACGTGAATCCGGAGCATATTTTTCGTGCACGCGAGGCAAGGGACTGAATAAGGTTTCTCTTTTGTCTAAGTGGCACGAAAATATGAAATTTGATGTACTGTCCGATCCGTGTTTCGTTTCGGTATACCCTTCTTTCAAACAGTCCATCAATTGTCCTGTGCAAAGCCACGTCAGAGAATACTAGTTTGCTATCTTACCCTGCCTTCAAGGTAAACCTTATGGACTTGTGCAACGTTTGTGTGTAATGGGTTAGGTTGTTCTCTTTGTCGATAATGTGAACTATATCGACGAGTTATCGCTTAAAGAATTTCATCTTTCTAACTTCGGGCTCCAGGACTGAGTTCTCCAGTTTAACCCTGAACACATTTGCTATTATCGGTCCTATTGAACAGCCGATTGCACATCATCTCTCTGGCGATGACGTTTTCTGTTGAATAGAAATTAAACGTCGAACATGCACTTTAAGAGTAGTTACTGTAGTTTTCCTACCGGCACTTTTATATCAATTCCATTTTTTATGTAAGTACAGAGGAAATCCACCGTTTCCATGAGCGGAACATTGGTGTAAAATGACACCACATCTAAAGAAAACATATGATTGTCATTTATTTTCTGTTCACAAATCGTGTTCACTAATTTGAAAGTGTTCCATATGCTGTGTTTGGCCATCTATCGTCAGATTGGCTCTATGATTGTTACCAGCCATTTTGCGGTGCCTAGATACGACGAGTTAAACATTGATAAATCTGTCGGAATGATAAACTCATCTTATGAACCTCTGGTAACCCGTGCAGATGGGAAATAGTGGATTCAAAGGATTTAATTGCTCCGGAAGTGGTTAGATCTAGGTGACCTTGAATCTTTAGAGAACGGAGATCATCTGTGATTTGCTTCCCAATATGGGCAGTTTTGTCCAGCTCTTTTGGAAGGTGAATAAATTTAGTTTCATCGGTCAACAACTCTGATAACTTGTGAATGTAGTCGGACCTATTCATGATTACCATTCCGGCTTCCTTATCCGGGTTACTTAGTATAATGTCATCTCGCCTTCTGATTGCTTTTAGTTCGACCAAGTGTTTTCAGCAAATAAACTGGTGCAATTCAAGTCTACTTTGGTAAACTGTTCCTTCAAATTTTGCAAGCACACTTCACGTAATCAGTTCAGTTCAGTGTTTACAACCATCAACCATGTACTTTCGTGCGCCGGTTTCGGTTGCTGTCTCTTGGTGCCCCACTTAGATAAAAGAGCAGAAAGAAAATAGGAATGTTGAAAGCAACTCAAGCGGAAGATGGAGAATGCATACAGAATGATGTAGGGGTATAATGAATGAATGCACAAGCGCCACTGTTTGCGACATCCAGCTTTATCGCTCAGTGTTTTTAACTATTGATGACCATCACCCCGATGTCCCCAGCCAGGGAGTCTAACGGGCCTATTTGACCTAGTCCCCTGGTTAGGATTTTCATACCCTCGTACCAGATCTTTGTT